TTAATAGCATTACAGCTGAAACAGGCTTTGTAAACATAAACTTAGACAAATCAGATTTAGTCATAAAAACCGACATCATTATACATATTATCAATACACAAGAAATTTATGACATTTTACACAACATCTCTACAATAATAGAAAATTTAAATTCACAGTACAGAACAATATTACAATCAGAAATAACACAACTTATTATAAAAATTAATACTATTACACCTAAAGATAAAAGAACAAAACGAGGATTAATAAATGCTGTAGGAGTTACGTCGAATTGGCTTTTTGGAACAATGGACGACACAGACCGACAGAATATAGAAAAACATTTAGAATTCATAACACACAACAATAATAGGTTAATTCATAATAATGAAAAACAAGTTAAAATAAATGACCACTTTAATAGAGCATTTAGTCAGTTAAAACAAGCTATAGAAAAGGACCGTGCTTTAATATTAGAGAATCTAAATAAAATAGAAGAACCCGCAATGCAACAAAATTTTTACATAGAATTAAAATTTAAAATTCAGTTTCTAAAAGAAAAAATAAATCAAATTCAGGATAATTTAGCTTCAGCCAGACATGGCATATTTCATCCTAATATACTAACAAATGAGGAAATCCAAAATTACGATATAGATTTCTATAAATTGCAATACATTAAATTCGGAGTAACTAAATTTCAAGAAAATTCATTGTTACTTGCTTTAAAAATTCCTAATAAAATTAAAAAAGTTCAGTTAAAATTAATAATCCCTTTACCTAATAAATTTTTTAAAGAAATTGATTATGTTCAAGAAACCATTTTTGAGTATGGTAGTTTAAATTATCAATATGAGGACTCAAAAACATTAAATGAGTTAAAATTGAGCAAACACTGTACTTTAAAAAATAATTGTAAACTTATATATAATAATATTACAGAAATAATTGAGATTGATGAGGAAACTATTGTAATAAAGAATGCAAGAAATATTAAATTGAATCACACTTGTGACAATAGGAATTTGACTTTAAATAAAAATGTACTTATTCACTTTAACAATTGTTCATTAAAAATATTAGATCATTATTTTTCAAATGTAAAACCTATTTTAAAAGAAAGATTCTATTATCCAATAAATGAAAATAACGAAAACTTTAAAAACTTTAAAACTCAAATAACATTTGATGAAATTGTTGTAGAAAATTTTAAAAATGTAGAGAAAATAAAAATTTTACATTATCATAAAAATGTTTCTTATATTTTAATTATTGTAACAATTATAATACTGTCAATAATAATTTCGTTTGGAATAGTTGCATTATGCAAAAAATTTAAGAAAAAATTTAATATTAATAGAATTCAGGAGAATTCTAATCTTAACGGGGGAGAAGTTACGTACAATAATACCGCTAATGACGCAACACTTCCTGTTATTTAAAATTCTTACATAAAATTTTATTAAAAAATTCTCACAGACTTATAAAATCAATGCAAGTATCCAATTTCGAAATAATTATGAAAGTTATATTAATTTCCTGTTATCAACAAAACCGTCGCATTATAAAGGTAGACACGTTTTGTTGACACCAGCAAATTTACTTTTAATAATAATAAAACTTAGTTATAAGAAAAGCTTTGTAAATTTAGTCATAATTAATCTAAGAAATCGAACAGTTGTGTTATAAAATAAATCAGTCTAATAAAAAAGTGTTTTTAATTATAAATTTCAAAAGTGTTTTTTTTTAACATATATGAACTATATATATTTGAGTGGCGTGAATTCACAATAGTTTGTAAAATATGTATTTCTCAAAATTTGTTCTTTTTCAGTTAGTCGGTTAAAAATAAAAATATTTATCAAAACATGTCGATCGCTGTGTAACAAAAACAAAAACCTTTGCTTTTCGATTGTAATTTAAAATAATTAAGAAAATGCAAAATAAAAGATATTATGTAAAATAATTAATGATACAGTACATTCATGTTTTATTGAACTTTTTCTGGGAATATTATTTTTACTGTGACTATTGTGTATATGCTGTATATAATGTATGTATATAATACAAGTATAATAAAAATGCAATTAATTTAAACCACAATTTGCTAAGTATACGATCATAGGTGTTTGTAGTACGTACTTATAATAAAAAATTAAAAATTTTGTTTTTCTTAAATAATAAATATAGAAAAATATTGTTATTATATGGCTTCCTTTCATATAAAACTAATTAAAGAAATATTAAATTACAATATTATTAAATTAAGTTTTTGATTAAAGGAAATAAGTACTTATAAGTGTTAACAAGCGCCATAAGATTTTTGCAAATAGTTATAAATTCGCATTGTTTGAAATATGCTTTTAATAATTTGAATTTTATGTTTCTAACATTAACTTGCGTTTCCCTACCACATTTTAATTTTAAAGTCATTGAACTTACATTTGAAATATGAATATGTACGTATGAGTGTTTTTCATTTTATTCATTTTACAATGCATATTCAGATATTGTACATATAGTTTTGTGTTTGCTTACTTCTAAACCAAAAAAGAAATGGAAAAGTTCTAGTTTCATTTGAAACAATTGGCTTATAGGTATAACAAATTATTTATGACAGACATTACAATCATTGAATTACTCGTAATTTTCATAACTATAATTTATTAATTAAATTGAATATGTGTGTCAATGTGTGTATAGTTTTGCAAATATTTCGTTATTGTGTTTAGTTTAAAGAGGTATAGGTACTTCTCTAATTGAATATATATATATATATATAAACATGTACCTATATCTTTATAAATAATATGTAGATTGAAAAACTAAAGATCAAAGGTTTTTTGTACATTTACAAATTTTATAAATTTTTATAATATTTAAAAGTTATTTTCTATATATAAGAAAAAGATTCGTTTTCTATTTTGTAGAAAAGTAGACAAAAATAAAAAAAAAATAATTTTTTTGTTTTTTTTTTATTTTTATATAAAAATAGATTTTTTTTTTTTAAATATTAAAATAACCATACTTATTGTTTTATTAAAAGCGTACTACTAACTAACTCGATCACACTGTTTATATATAAATATATATATAGGTACATATATAAAGAGAGAAATTTCTATTATCTCCTTGAGAAGGTTAAAGAAATTTGGACATTTTATTTTATTATTTTGTTTTTATTTTTTTTGGTTTTTCTAATTATCACTGAAATATTGGTGCATAAGCTCGTGGATTCCATAAATATTCACACTTATTTATATACTATTTTATATCTACATATGTACTTATATAAAATTACAAATATATTATTATATACATATGTAGGCTTATATAAATTTTATTTATTTTTATGACATGATAGTAAGGATAGAAATTTAAATTTAAATTTTCCATTGAACTCGAATTGAAATCAACAAGTTAGAAAATATTATATTCATAAATAAAAATTTATTAGCTGTCTAAAATAAAAAATTTAATAATATTATAAAAAGTTAAAAAAAAAAAAGAATATGGCACAAAAATTTTCTTCTAAGTAGGTACTCGTATGTAACATTTTGTAGCTTGAGTCACATCCATACGTGCAATACGGGAATGAGTAAGCTGATTTTGTAATTGTAATATTAAATTCTCTTATTAGAATTTCTATAATTATTCAAAATGGAATAATAATTATCCAATATGAAACATTTATTATTATTTCAATTAGAAAATAATTCCTATTGTGCGCTTTAATTTGAAAGGAAGTAGTATTTAGATACCACGTACTACTCTGCACATACATACATATACGTCTAAAATTGCAAATCAAATTGTACTTTTAAGGTAAATTACTCTTATCTACTTAAAAATTATTCCTAAATATAATTAATTGATAAACTAATTAATCCAATATCAACTGGTGTTATTTATTGATTTCATTATCAAGTTGAACAATTTCAATATTATTACAAAATTTGCATAATATTCAAAAAGAAAATTCTTAGAAATTTCAATGATTACGAAATCATTTTATTTTTTCTTTTTTGAAAAGTTTCACTAAAATATCTCATGTGTTTTTATTCAAATAAGACGAACAAAAAAAAAAAAATCACTCTATAAATATTTTTTTTTCAATAGGGTTTTTTTCTTAATTTTAAATTTATGCTACTTTCAAATATTGTTTAAAATTTTTTTTTCTTTTAATAATATTAGTTAAATTATTATTTATTTATTATAAAAAATGCACTTTCACTTACTTTTAATATAAAAAAAATAAAAAAAATTTATTTTTCACTTTTTTTTTAAAAAATTAATTGAGTTTTACAACCGTGCTCCTAACTTTACTCGCTGGACAACACAATTCATCTACTTTGATAAAAACCGATTCATAAAATATTTTATACGCGGCGAACAGAACAACATTCATGTATAAATAAATGAATGATTTTATTGTGCATGTGTGTGATATATTCCCTATGTATGGATACATGTATTCGATATTTCAAACAAATGTTTGTGTGTGTATATATTGATAAGGGAGAATTTGTGTGAGTAAAAAATTGAAAGAAAACAAACAAAAGAGAAAAAAAAGATAATAAAAATAATATACATAAATTATGAGAGTATGAGATGTCAAATATGAGGTTATTTAGAGGTCAATATTTGACAATAAGTTTTTCAACACAATTCTTTCAATTTTCAAATGTCATACATAAAGCTTTTTTATTTTCGAAAATAATTCTCGAATGAAAATGTGGGTATACTTAAAAATTTTAAAAATTATTACGTAAGTTAATTTTAAAAGTTGTAAAGAAAAGCTTATTTTAGGTTGTTGTATAATATATGTTATGCTTTTGGTTTTGAATAAATTAAAACGATAAGCATTGTTTAACAATGAAAATAAAATTCTGCGACATTAAGTTTATTTTTCTTTGCAAAAAAACTGTAAAATTACAATCTATTTTTAATTATTTTAATGTTTAATTATTGAAAAATGAGAAAAATTAAAGAAAGTCAAGATTTTTTAAATTTATTATTAGCTTGGTTTTGGTTTCAACAATATCTTATGACTATTATAATATTATTATGGCTTAAAATTAGAGTTAAAATCATTTTTAAGTCAAAGAGCTTAAATAATAATCTCTGAAAGTTGTAGTTTTATTCTGTCAATCTACATACCAGTAGATGTCGTCGATTTAGTTAAATGTATAATATTAAAATTTTGTTAGCGTAAAATCGTAGATAACATTATTATTTACAGGTAGTTTCGTAGGTTTGTTTTTCAAAATTATTTATTGTCTTAATATTAGGTTGAAGATTCCGTCAAAACATATTAAAATAAAAAATAACTCATTTTAATTTTATTAAATACTAAATCTCGAGGCTAATTAAAAAAATAACTAAATTAAAAAATAACTGAATTATTTTTTGACAACGTCAAAGTGTAAATATGATAAAAAATTAAATTATAATTTTTGTAAAAAAACCAGTTAATAAGAAAGAGCTTATTGTTTTTTAATAAATTAACTAATGTTAAATATAATTCGGTCTTGTTAAAGGACCTATTATTTTAACTTTTTCCTTAAAAGTTTTAATTTTCATAAATTTTGAAAGCAATGAAATTCTTTAATAAAATGATCCATTGCTTTAAACATAGTATTAATTTTTGATTTATATGGTCCACCACGTCCACAATATAATTGAGCATATGTAATATATAAAATATTATCTGGTGCTATACCATAAAATTGTAAAAAATAAATTTCCATAAAATGGAAAACTTCACTTTTATACCACATTTGATAATCTTCATAAGCTTGTTTAAAAGCTTCAATTGCCTCGTATATTGGTAACAAATGATTTAAATCTTTATCATTGATATTAACGGTCATTGCTGATTTTCCATTATCTTGTTCCATTTCTTTTTCCATTACAGTTTTAGCTGTAATAAATTCATTTTTTATAGCATCTTGACGTTCATTTAACCATAAATCATATGAAGTTGTTATAAAATAATGTAATATTGGACGTTGTTCAACTAAAATTACGAAATTAATAAAAAGTCTAAAATAAAATACTGGATGATTTGGTTGCTCTTCAAGATCTATAATTTTTCCCAATATAATATTTCTGTTATAGTTTTTCTTCACATTAAACATATTAGTGAAATAACTTTTTGGATCGATTTCTAATAATTCATATTCTTCATTAATAATTTCTTCTTTCATTTTATTACTTATATATTTATAAATTTTTTTTTCGATATTATTGTTATGAACTTTTTGAAATCGTCTTGTTACAGATAAAAATCTATTCATTGCTGATTCTAGTGCTTCTTCTCGTATTAATTTCGTGATATATTCAAAATGTATCGCTGATTCGAAATAGTTTAAAAATGATGAGTATGTTTCATCTTCATTTATATGCTGAATTAATTTCCATACTAAAAAATTTGCTATAAAAGAATATTGGCAAAAATTAATATATGTAATTTTCAGTTTGAAAAAAAGGATGACAAAAGTTTGAAAAGCTTGACAAAAAAAAATCTACTTTGAAATGTGAGTGAATATTAAAGAACAAAAATAATAATTGACTCTTTTTTACTTAACTTCCATCAATATTTCTCTTATCAACTTACCAATAATTCTCTTATCATAACTATTCACTAATTCCATTATTTGATCCAATTGTGGGCTTAAAGAAAAATGTGTTACAATTTTATGTCCACTTGCACTTAAATTTAAAAATTCATATGTTTCATCTATAAATTCAATTTTCCAATTAGTATTTGATATTTCAGTGATTGTTTCATCTGTTGCATTAATATTTGATAGCTTAACAGAAAAATTATATAATTCATAACTTGCAGTATTAGCATATTTTGATGATGCACCAAATTTTTCCATAAAACGTTTTACTTTTTTTCTTTGAATTATTTGCGTAGTTATTGGTTCAATTAATAAAGCATTTTTTGCATAAACACATTGAAAGAATGTTATAATACCAATTGAACATAAATCTGATGTAAATTTCATCCAATTAAATAATTTATCATCCCAATCATTTAATTTATATGGCCATATACCAATTAAATTTGATAATGGTTCATATTCTATAAATAAATTTTCAAAATTTTGAAATGGTTTCTTTCGTATATCATCACCATCTTCAATTGTTGATTTAAAATATGAATCATTTACATTAAAATTATTTTCCATTGATTCATAATATAATTTTGCTTTAATACCAAATTCAGTATTAAAGTCATAACGATTACTAACAAATGTTTCATATTTATCTTCTAAATTATATAAAAATGGTGAAACATTTGTAGTTTCACTATAATTACCACAACAAAATTCATAAAAATCAGCACATGGATGAACAGTTGGATTTATTGTAATTTCCATTTCATTTAAGTAACGTTCATAAGTTTTTGGTAAAAGATTAACTTCACTCCATTGACAATGAATATTTTTAATAAATAATTTTAATAAAATTAATGATGTTATTAAATAAAATTTATATAAATTTTTAAAATATATGTTAAATTTATTCAAATTCATTTTATTGAATTTTTTTTATATTTGACTACAATTTAGTTATTTAATTTATTTATTTTTTTTTTTTTGTAGTTTACATTATATTCAAAATTTTGTTTTTGTAACAAGAATAATTCTTTATTTGTCTGGTATTGAATTTATGATGTTATTTTAATGAAGATTAAATTGCTACTAATAAAAACTCTTAAATTATATCTCTTCAATATTTAAAAACAGATAATAATTAATTAAAAAATAAGAAAATCATCAAAAAAATTGATATTGAAATTGATACAAAATCCTATGTATGTACATGAATTTAATTGAGCATAAGAGAGCGACTTGAGATACACAAATAATAAGTTTTCGCAAATTTAAGCTTTTTAATATGTCAATTAAATGATCTTTATGTTTATTTTAATTGCTCTTTTTTTTATTTATAAGTACTCTTCTTTCAATGGAAACCTTTTTGAATGATTTTATATATACAGATTTCAGTCAGTGTACATTCTATAGAATATTTTGTTTTTGCTTTTCTATTTAGATTTTAGATTATTGCGAATTATTTGTACATTTTGTCAAATAATACAGTTAGGGTGCATGTATATACATATTAACAATTAATCGTAATTTATATATCATTTTAGAATAATTTGAAATTATGAGTATTTTTGGGGTCAATATTATTTTTAGTCACTACTAGGGAATAATTATTATATATATATATGAGAACAGTTTATTTATATTTATGTTTTTATACAAAATAGTAAAATATTGCAGTTTTTTATAGCGTGTTAGTATGACAGTCAGCTGAATATTTTTATAAGAAAAAGTGAATTAAATATAATAAATGATTGTGTATACATAATAATAAATATATATAATAATAATCACTAGTAAGATTAATGGCATCGTTTAAATTAACTAATGCTAACTCTATTAATGTTAGACCTATTGTATGGCAAGTATTATAAAAGTAAAATTGAGTAAAATTATTTCCATATGGAAATAAAAGCTGTGAAGATAAAATACGAAAACACTTAATTGGGGAAAAGAAATGATATTCCTATAATTATTATTTAACAAATTGCACATTTTAATCACATTTTTTTTATAATATTGTTCAAAATTCATACAGCAAAGAAATAAAAAAATATAAAAATATGTATGATCTACATATTATGAAAGATAATAATCTACTTAACACTAGTACGTACTCGTATGTAGAACATTATTCATATCTCAATAAAATTTTTATTTTCAAGGATGCTAGGTAAAGAAAAATTACTCAATGAGAACTAATTGTGTTATGAAAAAATATTTGTATAATCTGTTAAGTTAAATAAGTTAGAATAGAAAAATCTTTCAAAAATTTTTGTTATGTTACGTACATTGTTAGATAACCCGTTTAGAATTGAAATTTTAACTTATAAGTGAACTCTTTTATAAGAAAAACCAGATATGCGTTTAGAAACGGGCCCGACTATTAACATAGAACTGAACATAATTTTTCTAAATTTAAAATTCAATTTTATGAAATTTAGATAAATTGTTTAATATATGTACATAATAGAATTTTCTTAGAATGATACTTACCGTTCTTAAAGAGTAAAGGATGAGTTGATCAATTTGGTCACCTTTTTAGGGCGCCATTATCAGTTCATACAATTTATAATTTATGCAAGAATTGGAATTTTTTAAAATTACTAAAAAAATACGAATTTTGATTATACCATATTTCGGGTAAAAAATTGGGGTTGAAAATGTTTTGTTATTGTACAGTGAGATTTAAAAAAAAAATCAAAATTGTGGATTCATGTAAGGCGGTGTATAAATGAAAGACTGCCCAAATATATAAGTATATTTTTCTTTTTTTAATTTTCAAATAATTTTTAGGCCAAGAACATTTTTATTTGATTTTTATTATTTTCAAAATTTTTTCTTTTTTTTGTCAACAATAAGTTATTTTTTAATTTTAATTAATTTATTTTTTTTTTTTTCATAAATCACCGTTTTTATTTTTATCATTTTTTTTTATTTTAACACTTTTTATTAATAAATATTTTCTATATAAACATAACATCTTTTTTTTTTAATTTTTTAACTAATAATTTATGTTAAGCGAAATTTTCCATATAAATTTTCCATATATTCCAAATATGTTAAAGAATTTACGTATTTCTTTTTTTTTTAAATTTACAATTTTTTATTGTTTTGTCACTTGAGTTTTCATTGATTGAAAATTTGACATAAGAAATAATGAAAACTAATTTCTTAAATTTTAATTTCATTAATTTAAAATGATTGAAAATATTAAGCAAATAGAAAATTCTCCTGTTACATCATTCTTCTTCGGTTCATTCTGACTCTTGAATTATTAGAATCAAATACAAATATCAATTGTATATTTCGTTATTGTAAGAAAATTTAGGTTATTATATACGGAGTATTGTGTATGTATGAAATATGCATTTCTTGCATGCTATTTAAACCCATTTAACACGTTTCACTCGCAGAGCTATGAGAGTTAGCTCATCAAAAACAAAACAGAAAAAATAAAATAATAGCAAAACATTTCGGTAAATTTCGATTTTGTTTAAAAAATTTCAAGAAAAAAAAACAAAAATTCTGACTTTGACCACCTGTATCTCAAAAAACTATGGTTCAATTTAAACTGAACCGAAATCGAAAATTAAGAACAATAAATTGCCTTTAAAACAAGCTCAACAGACGTTACCTCGAAAGCGAGTATATCCCCCACTCCTACGACACTCATACAATTTTCTGCTGGAAATTGATCAAGGAATCATTCCTGAAATTATTTGCCACTTTATGCTTAACACCCTGTATATGTATTTAATACAAAATAAAACATTACAAATAAAATTTTTTAATGTTTTATTAACGATATTAGAAATTTATGGAAAATTTTTTTATTACTTAATATTCTATGCTTTTTATGGCTTAATTTTCTCTTAATTTGTCTTTATTTTTTCTTTGTGTTTATTTCATTTGTATTTTTAAGTTATTTTCCTACAGTAATGTTAATTTTTTTTTTATTTTAAGTACATACATAGTTAATTATATTTACTGATTTTTTAATATTATTTTATTGCATTAAATATATAGTATATATATACCATTATTTCGAATTATTATATAAAGCCTTTATTCCATAGAATATAAAATAAAATAAAATATAAGTTAATTAAGGTATTAATTTAATAAATATAAAATAGAGCAAATTACAATATTATTAAGAGAAAATTAGACTAGAGTAAAAAAATAAGACTAGAGTATAGAATTAATTTATTATTTAATCTTGGTTAGGAGTACCAAGAACATCAGGCAATCAGTCACTTGAGGTCTCTAGTTAACCATGCAAATGAAACCCTAAATGAGTATGCATGTGTAATTGTTAATTCAAGCTCCTAAATTTTAATAATATTCTGCTTAACCGAATGCAGAATACGTAAAAGTTTGAAATTTGAAAAAATGAGAACTTTCTTTGTAAAAAAATTTTATTTATATAGGTAGACGGTGTCAACATCAAATAGTACAGACAGACACGCATGCTATATTGCGGTTCTGTTCACAATTAATTTTCCTACTTAATAACAAATTAGGAAGATAAATGGTGTGAGGAAAAATATAAAGTTCGAAATTCTCTAACATTTAAACTATTTAGCCGATTCCCGATATAATTCTGTCCACTACTTCACTTTTAGATGTTATTGAGATCAAAACCTTCATAAGATGTTTTATGTTGGTCGGCATACAAATCGCTTAACCAAAGTCAAGTTAAATTTTTATAATCGTACAGAATGAAATTTTAATTAAAGCTCTTAGCTTTTGTAGTTATTAATTATTTTTAATTCTATAAAATGAAGGCTTTATAATAATTTGAAGTTTATTAATTTATTTATAAAAAAATGTTAATTTTGTTTTGTAACTATATAATGCATGTATGTGTGTATATTACTAATTATCATTAATTATGCGTTCTAAATACAGTTGTTTTCGTTAAATTTATTCATTTTTGCCTAATTATTTTTTGTTATCTTTTTTCTAAAATTTAAGATGATTTTTTCTTTTTCGCCTAATTTCTAATTTTTTTGTATTTTTTTAAAATTTTATTTTTTTTTAAATTTATCTAAATATTTTGAAGCAGTTTTTTTTTTGTTTTGCTATTTTTTAAATTATGATTATTAATTTATACAATTTTTATTTTTTTTATTTTATTTTTTAATAGCATGTTCAATTATTTTTTTTAATTACATATAATTATAACATTTTTTTTGTTTTTATTTCAAAATTAATAATAAAGCGAAACAGCCATATGATGGGACTTTTCTATAACATTTTTTCTTGTATTTTTTTTTTGTTATTTTATTTTTATTTTTTTTTATTTAACAAATAATTTAATATCAATTTAATGTTTTTTTTTTTTGTAATGTATATATCATTAATATATTTATAATATTATGTAATAAAAATGTAAAATATAAATTTTGAATAATAAATTAAAAATAAATTAATTTAAAAAAAATATATTGGAAGTGGTACAGAAATAGTTAAATTATGTATAAAAATAAACGAGAAAACATAGAGTTGACTGTGTCAACCCTATGATACCCGTACGAAAGTTTTTCAATGGTTATGTAATAGATAACAAGAGTTCAAGTCTAGTTAATATTTCAGTAGAAATATTATGCTGCAATGCTAAACATGTTTAGTGAAATTTGGCCAATGAATCCTATAAAATTTTTGAGCGAGCTACAACTAAATTATCTTTGAATTGTTTCGGGAGCTAATGCTTTGGGATATCTCGGAATAATTGTTCTATTTTCAAATTTGTATGCCCTAAGCTTGAGGGTAATATGTACAGTTAATTAGATTTTTGATCCTGTTACTAAACTCTATTACCCGAAATTTGAATACTCTAGGCTTTGTAATCCGAGATATGATTAAATTATTTTTGAAGTTCTAAGATTTCTATAGAACTT